ATATAAAAAATGAAAACACCTAAGTATGAAGTTGTGCTGAGAACTATATATCAAAAAAAATAGAGAGAGTACTGTCTTTTAAGGGTTCAGAATCTATTTACCAAGGACAAATGGAAATTTAACATATTTTAGGTCAATATCATCTCTAAACACAAATGAGTTAGCATAGCACATATTAGTCATTCTTAATCTAATTGGAAATACAGAAAAGTAATCTCACCAAAACATAAAAACAATTAAGTTGTCATCGATTTATATACCTCAATTTAAGAGAACATAAAAATAAAATTTTTAAAAATGCATCATTTAAAAAAAACCAATAACCAAAAATACTACGAGGCAGTTGAATCATGAACAGGTATGTAATAAAAACAATAGCTTTAAACTTTTCTCTGGTATAAAACAGTTTATTTACTCTATTTAATTTGTTTTTAAAAGGGTTTAAGATGATACTATGGAAATACCAATTAAAAATTAGAAGTAGTTCTCAAACTTTTCAATTTTATTATTCCTAAAGAGAGAGGGAAAAGTGAATAAAAATTTTGCTTTCTACCCCATATTTATGTGACTATAACTGTGTATAGATGTATGTGTGTATGCATATTCTACCCAATTCAAATGAAAAGGACTCCAAGATGATGTGCTGTTTATCTTGTAGTTTCAGGTATGCCTTGGCACACTGCTACATGCCTCCAAGGTCACTCATACTCCAGTCTAAGATGCAAAGCTTTAGGCCAAACAAAATTGCTTTAATACATTAAAAATATTTCAAAAATCCAAATGTCTGTCAACTGATGAATGAACAAACAAAATGTGTTTTACCCACACAATGGAACATCATTTGACAATTAAAAAAATAAAGCATATACTGATACATGCTACAACATGGATGACATTGAAAACATGCTAACTGGAAGAAGTCAGAAACAAAAGGCCATATATTGTATGATTCTATTTATATGAAATGTTCAGAATAAGCAAATCCATAGACAGAAAGATTAGTGGTTGTCTAGGGCTGGTAGCAAGAGAGAATGGGGAATGACTGCTAATGAGTATGAGTTTTTTTTAGGATGATGAAATGTTCTAAAATTAGGTAGTAGTGATGGCTATATAATTTTGTGCATATACTAAAAACCACTGAATTATATACTCTAAAACTGGTGAATGATATGGTATGTAAATTATATCTCAATAAAAAGTAAAGAAGAAAAATAAAAATATTTTAATATGCATGTACTACCTCCTTAGCAACTAAAAGGAAATAAGTATTAGATGTAATAAAGGATTAATTAAACCTCAAGACATTGAGGGGGAACAATGGAAAGGAAGGTAAGAGGAACACTAAGTAAATATTCACCAGCAGCAATCATATTTTTTCATCCTTTGAAAGGAATCACATTTTACTTGCTCATAAGCAACTTCTTCAGGAATGAAGGGGGTTCTGGCACTTTATCAAATGCTACAGGGTAGGTAATATATTTTGTATTAAATGGAGAAAATACTATATTACTTCTGTTTTTAAAATAACTTATTTTAAAAGGTAAAAAAATAAAATTGACATTTCAACCAAAATTTATTTACCATACTGAAATTTAAGTGTTCCAATATTCTAAAAACTATCAACTCTCTAGCAAAGAATTCATAATGACATCTTCACTCTCTTACTTTTTGGGCCTATTATCCTTCCTCTAGAATTAATTCCTGTACTTTCTTTTACCCCAATCATTTCTAAATCATCCATAATCAATACAACTCATTTATCTTTTAGAAGAATAAATTCTAGTCCCCCATCATTAATTTCAGCTTCAACAACTGCATATTACCTTACGTTTCCTATTTTTTATCCTAATTTACTATGTCTTCTTTGCTCTCACTCCAATATTATCTTCAATTCTTATGATCTCATCCCTGCCTCTAATATTTCAGATACCTCTATTTCTTCTATAACTCAGACTAACTCTGGCCAAATTCAGTTTCTTTGTTGACTGTCAATAGAATCTTAGCATCTTCACCAAAATGACTACTGTTAAGAGGCTACTGAAAAACTTGGCCATAAAAGTAGGGAGTCTTTTCTTTTTTTAAAAAAAAAATGTATGCTAATGGTAAAACTTTCTAAGGAAATAGAATCGGAATATAATTAAGCATTTAGTGCACAATTTTGCATATATCACTATATAAGCATCTAACTTCTTTGAATTGATGGAAGCACTTCCTTTTCCAGCTTTATTAACAATGCAATTTAAAATGTATTTTAGAAAGCCAATTTGACATTTCTTACACGTGAGAGCTGATATATACTATCAGAGTGTGATATAAATATGCAGTTGTTAACGTAAATTGAGTTTTTCACTTCTAGTAACATATTACCACTATATTCCAAGTTTCCTTACCTCCACCTTCCCACAAATTGTAAGGATGATTTTAAGTAGAACACTGACACATAGTTTAAAGAAAATAAGCTCTACAAATGTATTTTCCTAGTAAAAGAACAATTTTTCACTGTAATTCTCTCCTTCCTCAATTTATTTTTGACTTTTAGTATGTTCTTACTTTTTAAAAAAGAAAGCAAAATGCAACAAAGAAAATGCTTTACCAAAATCCTGCATTATCATGGTATGGGCCATTCTAGAGTCTGATGTGTGTAATCCAAGACTTCCACCACCTGAATCCATACTTAGCAAAGTTCATTCACAAATATCTGCAAAAGAAATTATTTTAAAAATAGTTTAAATACATTTCGCTCAAAGTCAGTTGTTTTGAGGAAAAAAGTGCAATTGAAAATACGCCTCTCAACCAGGTGTGCAAAGTTCATTACAAAAGAAAAGAAAACAAACTAAAACCTTGATTAGATGTTTTATGTGACAACCATAAATAAAAGAAGGGCCAGGTGGACATAAACCAAATGTAATGGAGAATACAGCACAGTAAGGGTGATGAGCCATGGGGAAGTGACAGAAGCAAGCAAAAGAACAAAATTGCAGTGTTGAGGTTGCAGTTTAAATATGTTATAAAAGAAGGAAAAAAAGAACAAGATGACAACAGACAATAGTTGGGATATTTATACATTACTAGAGGACTCAGATGTCTAGTATTAGTGAATTTCATCCAGTGGTTCTCATCCATTTCTTCCAGACCCAGTTCAGCTCTGCAGCGAAGTTCTGCAGATAAACTTGTATTCACCTCTGGCTCCGGGGGTTCTACTTATAGTGTAAAATGTTCTATCCCAGTTTCCCTGGAGTTCTTTGAACCAGTAAGAACTTCTGGCCTCACTCTACTACATTCTCTTGTCTCACAGTTTTGAAGACTCATGAAACATGACAGCTACCTAAATATGGTAAAGATAAGATCAATCACATACAAATATTTAGCAAATTGTTTCTTTCAGCATTATCATTTACTTGTACTTGTACAATTGAATTGTTTTCATTAGTGATTAATAAAATTATGCTAGCTTCATGGTGGTTTTGAAAACAAGGGCTCACTCTATTTCATTTCAAATGATTCATCCTACATATAAGATTATCAAACAGTATGAACATAAAGTCAGATGCTTTCACTCAATATATTTCTTACAATTACATATCTTCATTTGTCTTCAAACATAAGACTCTAAGTAAATCAACCAAAAAACTATCAATTTTATAAGGCATTTATCTCATTTTCACCTGGAAATGTTTAACAAATTGGGCAATATTGCACAAAAGATGAAGTTATATCATTAATGACAGTTTTAGTTAGCTGCCATGTAAAACAACTCAATCTATGTTTAAGTACAGGGGGATCACTAAGGTTTTTTTCCTTGCCTAAAAGTTATTTAGGTATTTAGGAGGCAGGAGAGTCTCACAGAGTAACCTCTATCAACATTTAAGTTGTATATGTAAATATGCTACAAAAGTAGGTGACATAAGTAGGTGACATTTCCATGTATCAAACAATTCAGAGAGAATTACTTTATATGTGAGCAAAATTACAAATTTTTAGAATTCTTAGCTGTGTTTTATCTTTTTTCAAATACCATATTGTTTTCTGCCTTGCTGTTATGCAAAATGAGGTCAAGAGGTCAAGAGAATTCACAATAAATTACCTGTGTGTTCACACAGATAAATTAAAATACCATAAGGACTTATTCTTAACATTTTAAACAGTATACTATTTGGATTTTAATCAGACTAATTGCTTTCTTTATCACATAACTAATAGAACAATTACAAATGTCTTAAAATGTTTTAAAAACTTAATTTTAATTTTTAAATGAGATAAAACATTAATTTGTTAATCACCTTTATATCAGTGTCTCGAAGAAACTGTAGATTTTTTTACGTATTGCAAAGTAAAATCTCAGCAATTTCTTTTTATTTTTCCTTCTGAACTATGTTATTTTCTTTGGGAAAACGTTCTCTTTACCTATTACAAAAATACATTCAAAATTAGACATTTTAAAACATTTTAAACCAAATCTCTTGTGTACAACTTAAGAATGTTTTTCTTTACACTTGAATTTGTGGTGTGAGGCTGGGAAGGGCTCATATGCTCAAATCTGTGGTAATCTAAAAGGCAACCAAAAGGATTCCAACAGAAACAACTAGTTACTACAATATAAGCAATGTTATTACACTTAGAGTTTGACCACTTGATTAAACCAAAATCTTCTTTAAAGCACATTTTAAAAATCACTAACAACATCATATTTTGGAAAGTGAAAGAGAGCCAAGGGCAAGCTTTATTCTTGCAAATCCATACAGAAAAAATATGCACTACCACTCAGTGAAGTGTAAAAATTACAACACATAGTGCAACTACCACGGGAAGTATTACACTGTCTGAATACCAAACTGGAAAACGCTTTTCCCATATAGGAAGTTTCAATAAGATCAATAATAAATGAAGTATAAAAACTGTAGTGTGTTAAGCATTCAAAGGCCAATAGATAGGTAGGCTTCTTAGTCGTCTTAAGAGTGTATATTTCACATCCTTATTGAATGGAGGTAACTCACCATGTAGGTTCCAAGTAAATATCTTTTCATCAATGTACGGGGAGCAGAAAAAACAAAAAGGAAATTTTACTCTGATCTGTCTCCTCTAGCATAGCTCATTCAGGACCTAGCTTCTCAGTGATGTCAATAGGGTGACGAATAGAAGAGAAATGGTAAGGCAGCAGAGCAAGAGAATGCGAAAGTAGTATTTGCAGAGATGGGAGACAAAGGAGCCGTGGCAAGTAGCAGTATTGCAGCTTTGGACGCAGCCCTCTTCCCGCAGAAGTCTCCCTTTCCCACGACCATGCCAAGTTTCAATCATTTCGAGCAGAACGCTCACACGTGCCCTCTCCGATATTACCCATCCGACTGGATCTTATACCGAACGAGAGAACCTTCGCAGTGGAAAGGAAGAGACTGAGACAGGAATACCCTTTCCCCTCCTCCCTCTCATTTGGTGCAGCGGTCGCCACCGCTGCTACCCACCCCCTCAAGCCTCCTCCTGCTTCCTCTGCCCCGCTACAAGGGAGATGGCTGGGAACCAAAATGGTGGTGTTTTAGTGAAGGCGACAGTTGCCGCACAAGGCTGCCCCCGCCCCCCAGGCTCTGATGGCTCCCTAGCCCCTAAAATGCCCGATTCAGTGCCACTTCCTCACAAACGCCGCCATCCCCCGCACATTCCAAAGGTTACCATTAGCTGCGGGCGGAGGCAGGGGCGGGAGGCGCGAGTGAAAGGAATATTGGGGGGGGGGGAGTCGCTGAGACAAAATGCCAGGGGGACGCCGCATTCTTCAGTTCGCCGTTTTGTTTTCCGCCATTTTCCTGTCACCCTAAACCACCGACGGCTCAACGACGGCTCGGCGCTAGCTCCCTGGGTCTCTGGCCTAAGCAAAGAGGAGATTGGCTGAAAGGGAAACCCATACTTCCCTCGATTCCTCCAGCCCCTGCCTGCCGCTGAGGAGAAAAACTGTCCGACCGAGGCGGGGGGAAAGCTTAGAGACTAGACGCCACTTCCATTGTTCCCTTCGCCCTACACTACATGCTGGGTGTGAGCCTCTCCTCCCCTCACACAAGAGACGCTGAGCACGGCGGGTCCAAGTCCCTCTAGTTCCTCCTCAGGAGTCTCCTTACCTGCGGCCGCCGCCGCCAGTCAGGCTATGACCGCGCTCTGGATTGCTGCGGGGGGCGGCAGCTGTGGATCCGTAAGGTCCTCACGTTAGGGTTTCCGAGGTTCCGCAGCCCGAGCCAATCACAAGCTACTCTGCGTCTGGGAGGCGCGCAGCCTCGTCCTCCTTTATAACGCTGCTGACCTGCTGAGGTTGCATTACGTCACACTTCCCTTGCTGCAGGGTAGGGGGCCGAAGGCGGGGGGCGCGCACGCGCGCCCGGGAGATCTAGGCTCCCGCGCTGGGTTTGTGCTTGGAGACCCCGCGGACTTGCAGCCCGGGCTGCAGCGCCGGCCGAGTCCAAGTGCGCAAGCCCAGATCTTGGCGCGCCCCTGAGGAGTTTCCGTGGGAAGATTTTCTGTTTTACAGGTTTCCCAAGGGAGAGAATAGAGAGAGGGGAAGAATTAATGACTGAACGACCACTCTCTGAATCTCTAATAGATGTTGGACGATGTTAAAAAAAAAAATCGGCCCTACCCTCTAGGATTTGACAAATTAGGCTGACTAGAGTGACAAGAGCTATGCCTCCCCCCAATAAAACCTGTGTGCGTTTTGCAGTTTCCCACCCTTCTTCCTTTCATTCCTTTTGTGTTTCATAATGGTAGACAATTCGATGAAGAAAGTAAAGGAGAGTGAAGAAAGGCATGGAAGGGAAAGGTGGACAAGGGACCTAAATGAAAGAGAACACTAAATATCTCTTGAATGTGTCACTTTCAGCTTCTGTCTGCAAAAGGTGGGAGAACAGAGAGAAATTCGGTGGGTGAGGGGTGGGAAAGAGAGTGATGAGATATGACGAAAGGTAGGTAGAGACTAGATTGCATTCGCAAAGGGTCTTATGTTCTGAGAATTTAGTTTTAATTCTATAAGCATTTGGAATCGATAGCAGTGTTTAAGCATGGAAAGACTACGGTCCTGAAAAAAAAAAAAGATAACTCATTACCTTTGTGTAAGTCATTTGACTATTTACAAATAAAACGTGGTATTGTTCTAGATCCTACTTTCTCCAAGTCTTTATAACCTAATATACCACCAAAGGTTTTAAGACAATTATAGAAGATGTGAAAGCCCGAGAACAGTACCTGGCTCATAGATTTGGAAAACTTTCTCTGTAAAGGGCCAGGAAGTAAACTAACTCTCTGAACTGATGTAAACATCACAAGATGTAAATAAATAGTAGTAAATAAAATATTTTTGAAGGCTAAAGGGTCTCTGTCACAACTACTCAGCTCTGTCATTGTAACCAAAAAGACGCCATAGACAATATGTACACAAATGAGCATGGCTGTGTTCCAATAGAACTTTATTTATGGATACTGACATTTGAATCTTATTTCATTTTAATGTGTCATGAAAAATTACTCTTCTTTGAATTTTTCACCTATTAAAAATGTAAAAACCGTTCTTATTCTCAGTCCATAAAAAAACAGGCAGCAGTCCAGATTTGGCCTGCGTAGTTTGCCCACCCCTGTACGTGTCATTTATTTACACTTTTATTTTCCCTCCTAGATGAAGAAAGGTATTTTTATGAGTGTATTCCCATATATGACATTTTTCTATATTGGATACTCTGGCAAATACTACTTAATTGTCTTTTCCCAGTGGCGATTCCAACATGAGGACACTAAAAGAAGAAAGCTGAAAAACATGTGATGTGGGTTTTTACATCAATCACCTTTGCGAATGGTACACTGTGGTAGATAATTTTTAAAACCTTGGTCATCCTTGCTTCTCCCTTTTTCTCCAAACAACTGGTCAATCAAAATGTCCTGAGAGGCCAGGTGCGGTGGCTCACGCCTGTAATCCTAGCACTCTGGGAGGCCGAGGCTGCAGGATCCTTTGAGCTCAGGAGTTTGAGACCAGCCTGAGCAAGAGTGAGACCCCTGTCTCTACTAAAAATAGAAAGAAATTAGCTGGAAAATTAAAAATATACAAAAAAAATTAGCCGGGCATGGTGGCACATGCCTGTAGTCCCAGCTGCTCGGGAGACTGAGGCAGTAGGATCACTTGAGCCCAGGAGTTTGAGTTTGCTGTGAGCTAGGCTGACGCCACGGCACTCTAGCCCAGACAACAGAGTGAGACTCTGTCTCAAAAAAAAGAAAAATATTCTGAGAATTCTACCTCCTTAATATCTGTGTAATTCCTCCCCCTTTTCCCAGTCCTAATATCATTGCCTTGTTCAGGTTCACTTCCATTCTTATCTGGATTGCTGCAGCACCCTGCTAACTAATTCCTCTGTGTCCCTTCACTCACGAAGTCCCCAAATCAAAAATCACCAAATCAGGAAATTTTGTCAAATTGAGCCTCCCCACTTGATTCTCACTTCAGTTGAGGCCCTCACCAAGGGGACAGTTGTGATAGCCTTCTGACTCATTTCTCTACTACGAATCTCTCTACTCCACTTGATATCGTTTACAGTGTAGAGTCTACATTGCCACAGAATTCACTTGCATAACAAAACAAACAAAACTGATTATCTTACTCCTCTGCTTAAACATTGCATCAATTCCCACTAGAAGTCAAGAATGACACACAGGCAAGGACAGGAGAGTTGTGGGAATCCAAGCTGAACAACAATGGGGAAGACCATCCAACATATGTCCTTTAGATATTTGGTCAATATTTACATAAAGGAGGAAACTGACTACTATATAGAAGAAGAACTGTTAAAGATGGCTGTTTATGCTATTTTTAAAAATAGAATTGTTTTTATATCCATGCTTTAGCATTTTTGCAGTTTCATATTAGCCCCAAGACCAACAATATTAATTTGGTGTTATAAATTCTGTAATTTGGAGCTTGTCTTGTAGCTTGTTCACTTCAGTCCCTCTATATCCCCTGGTAATTTTGATCAACTAATAGTGTTTTGCTGTTACATTTAGAAACCAAATGTTGCTGTCTCTTCTCCCTCATGTGCCTCTGGAGTCATCAGCTATATTCTCTTTCTTTCTTTTATTTTCCTTTTATTTTTTTTTTTATTTCAGAATACTACAGGGGTACAAACGCTTTGGTCACATAAGTTGCCTTTGCACAACCCGAGTCAAACTGCAAGCATGCCCATCCCCAGACAGCCCACACTGCACCCTTTAGGTGTGAATTTACCCATCACCTCCTCCACCCTTCCACCTGCCTGATACCCAATGAATGTTATTTCCATATGTGTACCTAAGTGTTGATCAATTAGTACCTATTTAATGATGAGTAAATGTGGTGTTTGTTTTTCTGTTCTTATGCTACTTCACTTAGAAGAACAGCCTCCAGTTCCATCCAGGTTAATACAAGAGGTAGATCACCATTTTTTATGGCTGAGTAGTACTCCATGTATATATATATATATACACACACACACACCACATTTTATTAATCCACTCATGTTTATGGACACTTGGGT